GTGTGTGTGTGTGTGTGTGTGTGTGTGTGTGTGTGTGTGTGTGTGTGTGTGTGTGTGTGTGTGTGTGTGTGATAATTAGTCACTTCCACATCACCAGATTTGGCTCATCAAAGTGCCTAATGGGTGACAATCCGCTTAAGCACGCACGCACATACAGCCTCTTTTTAACTACCATGGCAACCAGGATGACATCCAATGGATTCTGAGAGTATTAGTTTTCATTAATGAGATCAGAAGCTTTTGGATTACATGAAAATCAAAGTTACTCACTCTGACTCACAAAAGTGAGTTCATACTGTTTCTAATAAGAGGACAAAAATAAACCCTTGTTTAGTTTTCTGTGATCCCATTGCTCAACCATCTGATCATCCATCCATTTCTTACGTCTATCCCAGCTTTCACAGGGCCAGAGAAAAATAAAACTGTGGTCATACATGAGTTCATGTCTTTTATGCCTTTCACTGGTTTTCCATCAGTGTTTTGGAAATTTTGGGGGGTGTTCAGTGTAAAACATGAGAAGGGCAGTATAGGTCTGAGATCTGTTCCCCAGCAGTGTGTCGATTTTTTTTGTTTGTTTTGTTTAATTTCAGTGTATCTAAAAGCTGCAGAGGTGCAGGGCATGCTGTTTAGCTTAGCATAAATACAAGTAATCAAGCTTCTTCTTCAAGCTAGTAATTAGGCTTCTTTAAGCTTGTTCAGAGCTTATTACTCTGGGTTTTTGTTGCTCTAATAATCACAACATAGCATGATAATAAGAAAGGTAGATTTTTTTTTTTAAAGTATAGTTACATTTTTTTAAAACTCTGTTTTCACTCTTAATGCTATTAAGCTAAGCTACGGTCCTGCTTCAAGCTCTGTATTTAATTTAGCTCACAGAATTAATACATTTCTCTAAATTGTTGTACTTGCACAATAAAACTGGCTATTTTTATTAGTAATACAATTTACTAATTTTATTTCTTACACCAATCCGTCATAATGCAGAGTCAGGTTAGATGCTGGTGAAATACTCTAAAGTATGGATATCATGTTTTCCATAATTTATTTTCTATAAATGTAATACCTAAAAAAAAAAAAAACTATTTAAAAGACTCATATCACTAATGGGTCCGAGTTAAAAATAAACTTGAAAATGATCGTAAGATTTAATGTTCCGTTTTTGACTTTTTTAATTTATCAGCCAGTGTGCAAGCCGACCACAGACCATGAATATTTATGTCACATAAACAAAACAAGATGCTTTATTTCTTCTTCGAGAAGAGTTACAATCAAACATTAAAGACAAACCCATCTCATCTGCACCCCTTACTTACTGTCCTGTTCATCTTTATGTTAACAAGCACAAATACTCAAGAACATTATGGGCAACATTTCCATGAAAAACAAAATCTATTCCAGACAAGTAGTCATATTATAGCTTTTACAAAATTTACATGCGTTGTGTTTTCGTTTTTCCCTCTTATTTAAAATAACTACAGAAATAATGTTTTATTTCTCAGAGTGTTACCGCCACCTGGTGTTATATAAGTGAATTGCAGCTTTTACACATCCTTGGTTTTTGTCTGTACATCACTGGGTGTAAAATCTCTGCATAATGATCAAATTAAGCGGTCTGTCAGGTTTACCTCAATTTATTTTATTTTTTTTATTTACAACCTTTAAACAGTGCAGCCAATCCAACGAAATCAATAAATAAAACACCGAACAATGACCAACAGAAAATTTGGGAACATCAGAAAAAGGACATGCAGCTAGTATAAGATTGTCCAGCAATACCTAAAAAAATCAAGCTGACCCTTCATGCTTTACATCCACTTCATCAACCCAGATTAGATCCAAAGAGAGTTTGTCTGGTTCTGCATTGTTCATGTAAAAAATAACAACAAAGGTTTTTCCCTGTCTTCATGTTGCTTCAGTGCAGGAGGGATGTTTACTTGTCCACCGGTGTCCAACAGATGTTTCAGGGGAGTATGATCTAATTTGCAGTAGCCTTGCGCTTGTAACCAGTGGCACACCATCTGCCACCTTTACAATAAGGCACTTGTACGCAATTAGAAGTGTCAGTAATGAAGTGAAAGGACTGTCATACTGGTACGAGTGGCGTACATTAACAAGAACAGCGTGACAAGCAGGTTAATGCAGTCCAACAAAAGAAAAAAAAAAGATGTTACCTGGTGAAACATCTTTACATTACAACTCATGAGAAAAATATGGCGGCATCACTCAGACGTCACATTGTAACTAATTCACTCATTCGTAGCAGTTTAGGTTTTAAATTGAGGCTACAGTAAGTTTTCATACATATTCGATTTTTTTACACTGTTATTCATCATAAGACATCCATAAAAAAACTACCAGAAATTTTCATAAACAGATGAAGAGCACACGATACCTTAAATATTGCTTTTTTTCTTTAATCTGACACATGCGACAACAGTGCTCTGGTCGTGGCTACGGCATGTTATAGGTTGTATTGTGGTTTCTTGTTCTTATTCAAGTTACTCAGGCAATTGAACAAAGCCCTACAAAAGCTATCAATGAACTTTTTAAATGGCTTCTTGAGCCAACCCAGAGTAATCGTCGAGCCCAGAAGACAACACATTCATCGAAACACGAACATCCACCCACCCAGTGCTTTAACCAGTACTAAAAAAAGTCCTTTATATATAGAAAAATGCATTTTCTTTTCATTGCCCATATGAATCTTCAGTCTTACAGTATTTAAGGCAAAAAGTAGTCTTTGTCATGGGCACTGGCTTCTTTACTATAATGTCCAGTATATCTGTGTGTGTCTGTTAGGATCTGCATGTGGTGCTTATGCATGTCTTTGATTTTCAGTCCTTCTTTCTGATGTCAGACAGTGAAGCAGCAGTGAGGGCTGGGGAACGTACTCAGCAGCTCGACTGGTTTTAATGTTGTCGTAGGCCTTCAGTACAATACTATGATATTGATTTAGACTAAATAAGCTATGTAAGGCCTTCAGTAGGCTACAGTATTGAGAAAACGCATCAGTATGTAAGCAATGATGAAGTGAGGTGTGCACAACGTTTCGTGATCCCAGTCTCTGTGCACTTTTTTAGTCAGTTAATTCAACAGCAAAGACATAATGAGTGTTGCACTTTTTTTTTTCTTTTTTTTAAAGTCAGGGCATCAAAGCAGGTTACGAGGTCCCGTCGCTCCAGTGTGTGGCCCATTCCTTTTTTTGGACGCCTCCTGACTTCTCAGTCTGAAACTGAGGCCGGTCCTCGCGAGGAATCTTGACCGCGTGGTACTGAGGCAGTTTGTCCTTGTAGTGCGCCCGTCGGAAGAAGCCACACTATTGACCCAGGGAGGAAAGTGGGTCGGAGTGCACACAGAAGAAGGGAAAGATGGATGGAGGAGGCAGAAGGGAAGGAAAAAGAATTAACCAGTGCCACTTTTAAGGGACTGTGATAACTACAGTTGTTAAACTGTGTTTGAGGAGGTGCTCTGTTACTCAATAGCATGCCTTCTAAGAAAAGTATCCACTCTTATTCATTGCATTTAGGTAAAGCTTTATAGTGCATCTCACAGATAGGAAGGCAAAGTGATTACCTGATTACCAGCTGCAAACAAAGTGACTTTTTAATAAAAAAATACATTTAAAACAGCACACCAACCAAAAAGCACACTCTCATGCTCAACATTTATAACCTTGCACCAGCCTGAAGTGTCTGCGATTAACACACCAACACACTGAAGTACCACTAAGCAGATTTGCACTCATTAAAAGGAACAAAGACATCCACTGATCCTAACGACAAGTTCAGTCTGGCACCTGGAAAAGTTGATCAGTTATTAAATGCATGTCAAATCGTTAATAGATTTTTAGGAAGAGGGGACCGCGTAGAAATGAACAGTCTTCTGAGAATGATGCCAGAATGAACAAGTGCAGATAACTGAAAAGTAAGAGGCACAAAACACAGCACAGCAGGCATGTTAAAGCCATGAAGGAGAGATGGCTGGATGGTGTTCAACAGGCACAGATTAGGTGACTAGAAAACAAAGGTTTTAAATTATTTTACAGAACAAAACACCGAAAACAGTTTCAGTGAACCAACAACTGGGAATAGCAAAGTAGCTGCTCATGGGAGACATTAATATTAAAGGTTGTTGTTAAAATAGGACATTTAGGCTAATACCTAGCATTAGGCTATATGTGCAACTAGCCACCTATGTAGAGATAGCAGATATGTGTTTCTATAATAAGGTATGATGATTTCATACATTTTAGGGCAATTAAATACAATGAAAATAGCTTTTTTAAAGTTTGGGATCAAATCATGAATGTAGGCAACACAGTTCATATACGCTAACTGGCCACTTTATTGGGTACACCTGTACAGATGCTTGTCAGTTGAAAAGTCTTATCAGTCGGTCACATGGCAAGATCTCCGTATATTTAGGCTGACAGAAATGGCCAAGATGACCTGCTGACATCTATGTCTTTCATAAACTGATGATTTGCTGGGATTTTTCTACACAACCATCTCCAGGGTTTACAGAGACAGTATCCAGTGTCCTGCCTTGTTGGCAGAGGAGAATTGCCAGCATCCTTTGAGCTGATGCAAGGCAAAAATCAAATAACCCCTTGTTTCATGCAAGGTATTCAGGATAGCATCTCTGAATGAACAACACACTGAACCTTGAAGTAGTTGAACTCAAGCAGCAAAAGGCCACATTGGCTGCTGCTGTCAGCTAGGAACAGGAAACTGAGACTGCATTCCACACGGGCTCATCAAAACTGGGCAACAGAAGATTGGAAAAACTGATGAGTCTCAATTTCTGCTGCAACATTCAGATGCTGGAGTCAGGTGACCAAGACAGATGACCAAGTGTAGCCATAATCTGATGGCTGCTTCCAGCAGGATAATGTTCCATGTAACTCAAATAATCTGAAACTGGTTTCTTGAACCTAACAATGAGTTGCCTCAACAAGCAACAATCACCAGATCCCTTTGGGGTGCAATGAAATGGGAAATTAGCATCATGCGTTTATAGCTGACAAATCTGCAAAGTGTGTGATGCTATCACGTAAAAATGGACCAAATTCTCTGCGGAACGTTTCCAGGACCTTTTTGAATCTGTGTCATGAAAAAATAAGGCAACTCTGAAGGCGAAAGTGAGTGCAACTAGCGAGGTGTACCAAATAAAGTGGTTGCTTAGTTTAAATGTTTTACCTATTTAATGAAGGTTTAATTTAAAAATGAACAGACACATAAAATATAACCCAGAGAAATAATTTTATACCCCCTTATGGAGCTAATAACCTCTTATTTTAATTCTCAATCTGCCTGCAAACATTGTCCTGTAAAAATGAGTGATGGCAGAAACTAGAAGCCACCTTTTGTCTATATTGAAGAATAAAGTAGGAAAATGCTAAGAATCTGGTAAATCTGTCTTTTTTTTGTCATTATAATGTTTTTCTTTCTACTAATATAAACAGGAACAAAGGTAAAGAAGGCTTTACAAGAGATCAGTTCTCTTGTATCTCATGTGTCACTGCTATGATGCCACCTGAGATCATCTGAGCCTACATTTGCTGTCATGCTGTAATGAACACCACCAGCCTTCGAGTGAATTGAGGAACAAAGACGACTGCAGGTGAAGATTTTTACCGCTTGGAGTGAGAGGAGGAGGGGAGAGCAGGCCAGAGGGGGGTATACTTTATATTATTGTTCTGTCGCCTGCTTCTCCGCCTCCGAGGGTTGGACCCCCAAATGGGCACGGTAGTACTCCGTCTCATAATGATGGCGTCGCTCACTGCGTTTGAAGAACCCACACTGGGGCGGGGTAGTGGGGAAAACACAGATATATAACAGAGGGGATTCCCCGATAGAGGTGAGGAAGAAAGAAAAGGGAACAAAACACAGATTGGAGCGTCACACAGAGGACAAACATGAGGACAGAAGAGGAAAGGCACAGGTGAGAGTGAGCTGAAAGGAATAAAACATTTGCAGGACAGATCAGAGCAAGGCAGACCAATAACGGACGGCCCAGAGTGAAGGCAACTGCAGTGACATCAAAGAAACGTCACTCAGGATCCTGCAGCTGTTGAACTTTGATGGAAAGGAAAAGAGTACTTGAGGACTAGTTAACTTACTTTACTAAAATATTATAGTTTATTGTGACCCCTCTTCCACATTTCAGGTGGAACTATTATTGCTATGGAAATGAACCCTGTAAGTCTGTAACTGTATCCGACGTGTTTTTGGACCTCTATATCATCAATTTTTAAATTGTAAAAGTAATTTTTGAGCAATGAACTGCAAAAATGATACATTAAGAATATCATACTCATGTGTTATGCAAACAATAAGTCATAAGTGCATAAATGCAAATTGACTGTACAAATATATATAATTTCATTTTTTGTGCATCTAAATTTTCATGGTTTTGGCTTCAGGGTTAACATCATATATGACCTGCGATCCATCTTAGAAAAGTGCTCACTTGCTAGTTAGCTAGCACTACTTTAAACAAATACAGAATAAGAATTTTCTCTAATAAATTGTGTAAATTGTTAAATTATACATTATTAAGAATTATTATTTTTAGTATTACAAAGAAAGTGTTTTTACTCAGTTGCCACCAGAGATGTAATCCGATTACTTTTTTCAAGTAACGAGTAAAGTAAGGGATTGCTATTGCAAAAACGGTAATTAGATTACCGTTACTTTCCCGTAGGAACGCTGCGTTACTG